ATTAAGTACCATTTGAGAGTGGGTCAAATAAACTTCCCACCTATTATCTGCACACTTCTTCCAGCCTTCAAATTTTGCATTCCTCATTCTCTCGGTGTCAATTTCTAATCGGTAAGCTGGTAAATACTCGCTTGTCCAGGTACTAAAATCAGAACCACCAATCTTCTCTAATTTTGCATAACAGGATGGACTCCACCAGTGGCTCTTTGGCTTTGTTTTCACAGGCAATAGGCTATTCTTCATTAAATTATAATTATCCAACAGACTCCTGGCATTTTCTACAATGTCATCTTCAAATAATTTGTACATGACCACAGAGTGGTCTTTTGACACTATTCTCTCAGACTTTTGAAACCAACCGAATAGAGTGCTTGAATTACCACCCCATACATTATCAGCAAATTGTCTTTTAGTGTCTTGAAGAGAAGAGATGCAAACAACTTCAGCAAGCATGGAGACAAGAAATTCATCTGGCAAGCTGAGCGTGAAAGATGCAGGGACCTGCTTATATGAAATGCATAAAGAGAACTGAACGTATCAGTAGCAGGGGCCACCTGCATGACAAACATTTTAATATGACATTACAGTTTACAAAAAGTGATTCAGATATCAAATCAATAATCAATCAAAAGAAATCAAATGTAACAAACCTCTCTTGATTTTTCAAGATCCTCCATGTTTCTAGCTGCTCCAGGTGGAAAGACAATCAGGTCAGCATTCCAAAGCTGCTGCAAAACTACTTGCCTAAAAGTCATTGCAAGTATATTCTTTGATCCTGTGCTGGACAGGATATCTTCAGAGAGATGCCTCCTGAGTTTAGCAGCTTTTTCTTTAACTTTTCGGGCTGGTAAGAACTGTAAAAACAAACATGGTATAATTATTCAACAGGAAGTTTCAATTTCAATCATAAGCTTTCATTGCAACAAATTTCTCCTAAAGAGGAAGTATGCAATTCAGATAAATAATCCATAAACACTATAATGGATACACCGAATATATGTTTGTAAATTTCTTGAATGTATAAAGTCTGGCACATTTTCTGCTCCAATCCTTTATATCTTTTAATGAACCAATATGTATATTAGTTTGATTTATTGCTCAGAGAAAATCTATGTATTCTTGAACGACCCGAACAACTGTAAATTCGGTTAGTCTCATAGTATCAAGAAAATTTAGAACAAACCATTGTCCTCAACAAAGTTCGAAAACACAAACAAAACAAAATTAAATAAACGAAGCGAACCAGTCGAGTAGAGACAGTGCTGTGCTCATCAGAAGGGCCTGGAAAGACGGTTTCCACGACCATAGCTGGCATGCCCGAGTCAATGTGCTCGGAGGCAGCTTCACCGCCATCAGCCGCAGCCGCCGTCAAAGCCTGCTCAAAATCCACGGCTCCGACCAAAGTTAGGCGAGCCAAGTCATTTTCGTATGTCCTCACGCAAGGAAGGACCTTGTCATCGGACTCAGCTACGGCTTGAAGCACTTCTTGCTCAGTGAATGGTATGGTCTTCGGCGGAGAACAAGAGAGGACGAGTATGGAGTTTTTTGAGTGAATAAAGTTTCCTGCTGGAAAAAATGAACAGAATTTAGAACTGGGTCGAAGGGGAAGAAGGGGAGAGAACAATGAGGGACTTCGAACAGACGCCATTGGCAGGAATTCTGAGCTCCCAGGTGATGAATTGGGGTTTTCGATTTGGCTCTCGAACCCCGCAAGCAAGTGAACTTTCTGAGTTCTTTCCCCTTCCGGTCGATAAGCGCACCCCGTTTGAAATTGTTTTTATTTTGTTATTTGGACACGGATATTTTATAAAATATTTTTTGTAGACGAAAAAAAAATCAAAATGAATATTTTTTTTATTTTTTTCCTTCAAAATAATAATTTTAAAATATTTAAAAAATATTTTTATTTTTCTATTCTTAAGTATAATATTTTATTTTTTTCAAAAATATGTTATCAAATAATTTTTTTTGTTTTTTAGAGAACAAAAAATCATTCCTAAAATAAGTTGTCAACATGTCCTAACATTTTTCATTCTCTTGGTCCATGAAATTGAGCCCACTAAGATTATGATATTTCATATTTCATTTTAAATAACCAGTAAAATGAAATATTTTGTTTACAAATTTCACCTGATTTTTTTATACTTTGATTTCTGTATTTTAATTGATTGACGATATTAATATAGATAATGGGGCTTTTGGTGTACCAATAATGAAGAAATCCTGGGTTAACATACAACATTAAAATATTAAAGAGCTAATGTGCAACTGACATAAAATTTTGAAGAATTTTTATTTTATATATATATTTGCCTAATTTTAATAATAGGTGCATGCTTCATCAATTAAAAAAATATCATTCATCTTACCTCTACCTTTGTGTTTATCTATTTTATGATAAGATGAATTTTAAATTCAAATTGAATATTTTAAATTAGAGATTAAGATAACTGGGAAAAAAAAACTATACAGGTAATATAAATACTTTAGATTTTAGATTTAAAAGAAGAAATAATTAATAAATACAAGTATAGAATTAAATAATTACATATTGATAAGATTAAATGTTGTTTAGAGCAAATAGAATTTTAACAGAATTTCACCCTCAATAAATTAATTATTTACTTTCAAACTATTCCTATCTTTTTATATTTATCCTATTAAATATTCTACAATAAATATAAAGTCATTTATCAATAGGGACATTTTTAAAAGAAAGGCAATGAATACATTTTAAAAAATTAAAAATATTTTATATTTTTAAACATTCAACTCTTTTAAAAATAATTAATATTTTTAAATGAAAAAAGTATACATTTTTAACAGCCAGGCTCTCTTTTTTCTAAACGTACTAATTAATAAGTATCCTGTGCAATGAACGGGATGTATGAAAACAATTTTTTAAGAATTAATTAAACAGCCTCAATCTCAAATCGTTAGGTTATGAAAAGTGAATTTTTTTGCAGCTTAACACGTTCTTCTTATAAAAGTGCAGTTATCAAATAATCACTGTCCAAAGCAATTTTTAACTTTTAAAAATAAGAATAAGATTATCGAAAGTTAAGATGATAACAAAACTGTAGGGACAATGGGAGAGGAGTCAGGAAAAAGGAAAACTAAGATACAAAAAATTGAACATATAATTTTTATATAATTAAAATAAAAAAAAAATATAATTCACCAAAAGGCATAGAATGAAACTGAAATATAACGAAAATATTTTATCAATCATGGCTATACATATGTAAAGGTTCATATAAACCAAAAAAATTTTAACATTTCGTTTTGGTAGATAATATCATTTATCTTAATCACAAAATATGAAAAGATCAACACCAAGTAGAACTAAGAATTATCAAGTGTCCATGCTACAAAACTTAATTAAAAATAAAATAAAATAAGAGAAAAGGATGACAATCCAAATAATCCAAGAGCAAGTTGAATTAGAACATTGAAGAGAAGATTTGCAAGGAAATTTTTTTGCCCACCAAATGTGATAATGGTTACAAATTAAAATAAGATAATGCTTATATATAGAGAATGACAAAAAAGAAATCTAGAGATAATTAAAGTATAAATCGGAGAAAATAATAAGTGAAATATATGATAGAGAAATGTTAAAAATCAATAAAATATTTTTCAATATAATATACATGAGTTACTAAAAGACTTGCATCATTTTTTACCACACAAAAAAAAAAAAAAGACTTGCATCATTGATCTATAGGCATTAAGGCCTCTTTTTACCATAAGAGGCACATCTTCTTACAATATATAAATATGAAGAAAAGAAATTCTTAGTACCCCTTATCCAAGAAGAAGAAATCTTCAAGTAGAATGAATAACACAAGAATTTTAAAATAACACTATATAATATAGAAATGCTAAAGGAAACCATTGCACGTATCCACAACTTCATCAATAAATTTTAATATATAGTGTATGACTTGTATATCTAACAATGTGCTCACAATGAGATATCAAATCCCGTACATTAGTTTAAAATAACATGAGGGGATTCCTCATGTTTATGCAAACATCTTCATGTGGTTGGGAGTAGAGCAAGGAGAAGGCTTCTATTGGGAGGGAAAATCATTACGATAGTTGAGGGAGGCATTGAGGGGACATATCTTGCAAATTGAGAGATCATGGGGGAAGTTAAGATAACATAAGGAGGTTAACATGAAAAGCAACATGCAAAAACAGAGACCTAAAAAGTAGGGAAAGTTAAATTAAGGGGTAGTTATTAGAATAAAAAATTATTAAAAAATTTAATTTAAATGTAAATAATTATAAAATATGATACACCACAAACTTCACAAAATCACACAGAATATGATATGATATTAGATAATAGATATCATGGGATATAGAAATTACTCATTATTTAATAAATTTTGCATTTCAATCTAAATTTTATAAATTTAAAATGTTTAAATTAATAGGAATTAAAGGGTAGTTATTGGAATGAGAAAATCTCTTATATAATTAAATAAATTGATTTAAATTAAATAATTTTAAAACAAGATACATCACAAATTTTGAAATTTAAAAATAAAAGAATAATGATATTAGATGATAGAGATCATGGAATACAAAAGTTATTCTTAGTTCAAAAATTTCATTTTTAACTCTAATTAATTTTTTTTAAATCATGGGCATTTTCTTTTTCTTTATTTTTTAATAAGAATAAAGATGAGCTAATATGAAATTTTTGTTTTAGGAATTTTAAATTTTATAATGAAATAAGGTGGTATTGAAGTTAGGACAATAAAAATAATGAAAGAAAAGTTGATAAAAAATGAGAAAATTAATAAGGGAGTTAAGATAATAGAAGTTACAATTATGAGAATGGAACTAATGAGAGTGAGTATTGAGAAATCAATAAAAAATAAAAATAAGAATATAAATTAAAATTAATTTCTTAAACCAATCTTATGTAACATGAAATGGCAATAATTTTTTTTTTTTTAAGGACGCGTGTCTTATTCTTCTATCTAACACACACACACACCAAGGGAAATTGCATCATACGTATTTTCACGCCCTTCATAAATAAAATCTCCGTTCGTGCCTTTCACGCAGTTCTGTTCCATTCTTCTGCATCCTGAAGCTGCGTTTTGTGAACGATTCGGGTATGTCTTCCTTTCTCGTTTCGTGACTTTCTCGGTCGATCAGGGTTTTGATTACCTTTCCTCTTCCCTTTCAGCCGTTACGCTGACTTGAACATTAGGAGGGAAGTGTGCTAGGGCACAGCTTTGCTTTGTATAATGCTGCGCCCTTTTTTCGTTGAAAATGAAAAATATTTTAAATTGAGTTTCTGTTCGCTATTTTGCCCGTGAAACCTTCAGCGAAGCATGTGTAAAACGGAAATAAAGTTGGGATCATCACTTGGATCGGATGTAAGGATTAATCTGTGAATAATTGCCTAAGTATTTTCTTTAGTCTGTATTAAAACAATTAATTGCCAGATAAATAAGTTCCAACCTCTAAATACTTTTCAAAAACGTTGTGTTGTTTTTCATAGTTTTGGATGGCTTGGTTGTTGACCTTTGGTAGATGGTTAATTCAAGGATGCAACATAATTTTTTGCTAGGACTTTTGTTTAACTGAAATCGACATGGAGCCCTAATATTTTCCCCTAGATTTTTATTTACAGTTGTTTCGCTTTGGCATGAAATGATAATAATTTGGGTGATCACTTGCAATTCTGTTGCGTAGATGAATATAACATTGTTTAATTAGCACTGATGTGCTGGTGAACTCCAATTATTATGTAGATTGAAATATGGCAAAGCATAGAATCATTGTTATGCCTGCAGGATGCAGAGAAGTTTCAATTGTTTTCAATTTGGATATTTGTAATTTTATTCTGAAAGCAGCATTTAGGCAATGGGGAAAAGAAAGTCAAGAGCAAAGCCACCTCCCAAGAAACGTATGGATAAGCTTGATACTGTCTTCAGCTGCCCTTTCTGTAATCATGGCAGCGGTGTTGAATGCCGCATGTAAGCCTTTTTTCCCCTTAACTATCATTTTGGGGCTGTGCTTTTTGCTTGTTTATTTGCAAATGCTTCTAAGTACATCCTATATTATATATGCCTTTGAGATCATTAAAGAATCCTTTGATCTTACTTAATGAAGATTATTTTTATTGTTCCTGATATTCTTTCTTTCTTTCTTTCTTTCTTTTTTGTTTGTTTGTTTCTGGTTCTTGTTACAGCGATATGAAGAACTTGATAGGAGAAGCTTCTTGCAGGATATGCCAAGAGAGCTTTAGCACTACCATCACAGGTATGTTCTCGGAGTTGTGTTAATCATCTAATAATTAAGCTATTTATTTACGATGGAATGTTGTTGTGGCTTTTATATGTTCATGTCCTCATTTTTTTTTTTTTAATTGAAGGTTGTGTCCTCATTATTATAGTTGTGTGTTCTACGTTCATTGATGCTGATGAAATCAATTTGATATTTGATGGGAAATGGATTCAGTGATTTCCCTGACAGTAAGCATGGCATGCATTCCTTGGAATGACATAACCATAACTTAATCCAGGTCCAGCAAGCATTTTCTAGGCTCTTGAATTTTCTTTTACATCACATGCTAAAGCGACATTTTACTTTTCTTGAACGCCACAATTGTAGTAATCTCCATTTTCTAGGAATAAAGACGCAATTAAAGACTTGCTTTATAAACTTCTTCATCAGGTTTTTGCGTCTTGTCAAATCAACTTGCTAGCTAGTCAAATAAATATTGTGTATTGGATTTAAAATTTAATTTGTGCTGGATTTGTGGAATGTGAATATTTATGTTTGGGTCTTGCAAATCTTAGGAGTAATTTTATTTTATATGTAGGTGTTAATTTCTGTATTAATGGGGGCCAGCCTGTATAACTTTTTTGAATTTATACAAGTTTGGTTATTGGCAATATGAATTTTTTAACTGATTTGGGGAAAAAAATAAAACAGGATATATTTTGCAGGCCAGCCCACCTGCCTATTAGTGTGCAGGTTGGGTTTTCCCAGCCTGTATATCTGGCGGACTGGCCTGAATCCAACCTGCCAAAATACCAGCCTAATGTAGCCCGTTTGCCAAGCTGGCTAAGTGACGTTCTTTAATATATCTCCAGTGAAGGGACATTGGTCCCAAATGACACCATTCCAATGAAAGCACGCTTTCTGCAGATCACGAGCCATGATCACTGAATCCATTTCAGATATCGATTCTATTGCGATAGACTTCATTTTTATTGGTGACACCTTTTTTCTCTTGCGAAACACCACCCTTCACTACCAATCCTTGGATTGTACTTCCTACTCCACCCCATTTCTGATTTTTTTTGTCTTGTTAATTTTTTGTGTTATTTCTTAGTGAGTTGAAACAAAGTTTGCTTAGATATCTATCCAAGTGATATTATTTTGAAGATATCTCTAATGATCAACTTTTCTTGCGCATTTGCAGCTTTATCTGAGCCAATAGACATGTAAGTTATATGAATACGGTGAAACTATCCCTCCCTCGCCTTCTCTTTCTCTAATGTATCTGACGAAATTTTGTTGCATCTAAGCGCAGATACAGCGAATGGATTGATGAATGTGAAAGGGTGAACAACCTGGAAGATGATGGTGCTTAGCTGCGGTCTTCAGGGTCTAGATGTTATTCTAGGGTAGTCGAGGGAACATCTGTTATCTGTACAACTCTGCTTTCACCCACCTGTAATTATGTCACTTCCAGTTTTGTGTACTGGTGCTGGTATAAGCTTAGTTTTTCCGTGTTAGTCACTCCTAGCAATAGCATGTACAAGAATACCATATAATCGCTTGTTTCAATGAAGCAAACTCGATAAGAAGTTCACGTGCGTGCTTTATAAAGTTTGTGAATTTAGAATTTAGATTACGTATTATTTTCACCGGTAATAAACTTGTGGGCCTCTGTTTTTAATGCCGTTGCAGTTGACGTTTTCTTTTATATACAGTTTCTTTATATCTTAATTTAAGAAAAAAGAATATTATTCGATAAGTATCAACTCTTCCACTAGGTATAGTGAGAGCTGTTTATCACCAAGTTTATCTAGGTTAACAACTCAAAACCCACTCCGCCGGTGGATTTAAGTTAACATTATTTGTGATTCATAGATTCTTTGGTGAGTAGAAATGCCCAAATCAACTTATGATAGGATCTGCTTCTTATTCCATTCTCTACAGTCTCCAGTGATCATTGATATCAACGAAACGGAGAACGAGATTTTACACCCATGGGTTCACGGCAAAATGATTATGATATTTAGAAGCAAATCTTACGTTGAGCAAGGTTAATTTACAAATGGCAAACGAACACTGAATCGTTCTCAATTGTAAAGGTAAGATCACCCAAAACAAAAAATTGAATCGCTGCTGACCGTTAGACTTCATTGCTTATGTTGAGTCATAAAAATTAATCAAAAGGAACTAAATCATTTATTACACACCCAATATTATGTACCACCTCCTGAGAGTCTGTCCTGCAGCTTTTGCCTTTAAAAAGCAAATAAGAGTAACTTACAACAGCATAATGTTGGAAAATGAAAACTCGGTGCCGTATCATAACAATATTTCGCCTGAAGACTAGGTCAATTTTGATGGTGCTAGTATGCACCAAATTGCGAATCATAATGCTATATAGCAATTTTCACTCTATGTGATCATCTTCCAAGGTTAGAATCCCACGTCCAGCAGTCTCTAATGCAGCACTTCTGTGAGAATGAGCTATTCACATATCTAACCAAGGCAAATAGTGACCTCGGGTGCTAGTTACTAAAATGCGAAAATAGATGCAAAACAATGAGGAAAGACAATGATGACCCACCATAATTTTATGCGAAACAGGATTGAATGCAGCCTGTTCAACATCCCTCTGAGAACAATCATGTTATATAATAGTCGCTGATGTTCTCAACAAGATAGTCATATGGTGCAGCTAATCCAAACTCAGATGTTCCATTAAGTGGAGCAACTCTGTTAGAAGCAGAATATACACCACTCATGCCAACCTTCGCATTAAGTTTGGCCCTGCTTTTGGCATGCCGTTTGTTTTCAGGTGGAAACTCAGCAGAAAGCCTTCCCATCCGCTTCTGCAGATCAGCAACTGAATCACTCGTTAACTTCACCTTGGAATTTTTCTTTCCATCAACAAGCTTCAGCTCCAACCGATACAATGCACATGCATCACACTTGTTCATCTCATATTCATAAAGGTGCCACTCAAAATGGTTCAGCGGTTGTGGGTCCATATAATAGGATCTCTTCAGACCACCAAATTCGCTCATTACTTGCTTCCTAGATTCATGCCAACCACGTCCAGTATAATCCGGCAAGGACCTCTGCTTTCTGTTTCCACTTTCAAATGCTCTTCGTGGCTTGTCAAAGAAGAGCCACTCCCTAATAGTTTCACCCTCAAGAAAAATAAGATCAAAAAGCTCTGCAGTAAAATAGGAAATGAATCATATTAGCAGGAAAAACAAAAAATAATTATTCATTTTCAAAGAAGATACCTTTCTGAAGAAAAGTAGACTAATCGAGGATGAGATGCAAGCAAACATTTATTACCAGGTGCATTCCATGGAGACTTAGCAGTTGCTGCTCCTTCACATTCTGGGATGCCAACATCTTTTCCTTGTGCCTTTGCACGAAGAGCAGCAAAAAGCAAATTATCCTTCAAACCAATTCCTCCAGGTCGTAGAACTGGAACCATACCTGGTGGCCCCTCATTCAATGCTAGCGCAGCGTGAAAGCTGCTGCAATAGTCTTGACAACACTCCAATCCTTGAGCAGGCCTTGGGCAGTCCCAGAGTGCACATTTTGGGCCTAAGAAAGCAGAAGGAGGAGGGCAGAAACTTGGAACATAGCTAGATACATCAGGAATGGTATCCTCCTCGCAAAAAGCTGAATCATTAAAAGTAGCATAAATGCTGCGGTCAAAATCCTGATTTGGATCAAATTGATATTCTGAAGTTGCTCCTTCAAAGTTATTTGCCACACAGCAAGCTCCTGAGGTAGAGTGTTTACGCTTATCAACCAATGGGAATTCATGTTGCTTTAGGTCCTAATACACAGTTAAACATAAAACTTAGTACAATTACAGGTGAGATCCAATATTGATACCTGATCAGCATCAAGACACTGAATGAAACTATAATTCATGACTATGAGCTTTCAGCATATATACTAGTCTTGAAAAGCAAAGAAGCATGCTATTCTTATAAATGAAAAGGAAAGAAGAAACAAGTAGCCAACCACATTAAAATTAGAATATAATCATTCTTCAATCGAGGCAGAAAATATCATCTGACTGGCATGCCAAGAAAGCACATTTACAACTGACTCAGTGGCCCTGTTAACCTTGTTTGCTAGAAGCAAAAAGTCATTCTGTAAACCTATTAGACCCTCCAGTCTCCAACATCATGTTCTTTATATGACTGAGAAATGATAATATATTGAGAAAGCAATGTTCTGAAACATGACCCAGACTGGACAGTTTGACCAGAAAAACAAGAACCGGTCCACTTGCCATTCCTTGCACCTCCAAAAATTTGCTCTATGAGGAACAGCTAAACCAGTGACAAATCAGGTGATCATGTCAATTTTCATGGTTTCCATAGTTTGCACCCATTCTTTTAGATTTTGAGCATAACCTTAGTGGAGCACCACCACTTCACTGCTTTGGAGCATCAAACCCGCCCCTTCCCCTTTCTCCACCTTGCAATTGAATTTCATATCCCTGTTTGTGACTCTCCCACCTGCAATGGCCGATGTCTTGCCTCACCATTTAAGCATAAGCACCCTGCCAGTCCTTGAGTCATTTATTTCAGGAGACAAGGTTGTCTTATATTTTTTTTATCTGAAGACTTCCAAGTCTTGCTGCTCATGCCTTTAAGCTAGCTTTAAGGTACCCAAATAAACTGATAATTATTGTAGTTAGATCAGAGGAACAAATTATAGCATTACTTAATTTAATCAGTTATCCTTCCCCTTTTTTCTAATGCGCATTACATCTGTTAATTATGCGCTAATAGGATACATTCATGGTTATTATATATTTTCCTTCTAGCTGTAAAATAGAATACTGTAATGTCCTAGAAGATGGATTTCTTACAAACCTGCGGTAGTGAGGTCTCATAAATAAAACCCATACATTTTGATATTTAACATTACCAAAATCTACATTAATAAAGTAGAGATAACATTTAAACAGTACATACCCCCAAAATGTATATATTATTACTAGCTTCATCCTCATATCCTACTCTACTTTCAACTCTTTCCACTTCCAAAAATCAGAAATGTAAAAGAAACACAGGAAATGAGAAGGAGAGGAAAAGGACAGAACTATATAGATGGTAATTTATTATCATTTTTGGTGCTTTAATTTAGTAAAATACAGATGTCTGGATTACAATGATAAATATAAATCTCAATACACACTCTCTTAACATTCAGATTAAAAACCAATACCATCCTCCAGAACAAGACAAGTTAATCTCTAAGAAAACATTATCAATAAAACAAATTCACAAGAGAACTACTAAGAATACAATTTGTTCCAAAAATAACATACATATATATACGTCACCAAGTCTGCACCAAATACATAGCATCATCATCCTGTATGGACAATAATAAGTCCAAGGGCCCAACAAACTCATAGTGGAGGCAAAACGTAAGGATTTGCAAAGGACAATGGTGCGAATGTGAAAGACAAATGTGAGAAAATCATTTTGCAGTTCATTAGAAGATAGCAACCACTGCTAAAGCATCTATACAATTATAGCGATTGCCTGCTACAGATAACAAACCGTAAAATGCTGACACAGTCACAGCCTAAGCCTATAAAAACACCCAACATTATTTCATAGATAACAATGAACCTCAGAAAATCACAAAGATGCTTACCTCTTGGAATATCACATTACACCCAGTTTGCAGGTTGTGATCACTTGGTTCAGGCTTAGGCACAGCTAATGGACTGGTAGCATCATCTTCCTCCTCACAGAGCTGCAACAGCCTGCAGATATCAGTTGAAAATGACCCGAGACTGCCACCCTGTGTTCGCCCATAATTATCACAACTAAATCATACTCTGATTGAAGGCCCAAACCAAGAACATCAAAACATCATTTTACAATAGTTAATATTTCCATTCAATTACACATAAATCCATCAAAATGTAGAAAGTATAGGTCTGACAAGAATTATAACATAAATCACACATCAAGTATATTGTAGACAAGATGTGCTGTATAAGCTTACCTGCTGCAAAGAAGTAGCAGGGGAGGGCTCATTGAGCTCTGCTTTCCATTCACGAAGCATCTGATGGACTTGCTCCTCAAGAATTGCAGCATCAACTGTACGGCTCTCCTTCCTAGCAAACTGCAGATCCATGAATATAACCTGCAAATCATCAACACGGTTCTTTGCCTTGTCCTTAAAGAGCTTGTGGGATGCTGACTTGCAGCTGTTCTTAGAAATCTTCTTCATTGTAAACCCACAAGTTGTAGCAGCAAAACCTTGAAATTGCCAGCACAGCGCACTGAGTTTCAGTTTCAATCTATCGTGGATAAACATTAAAAGAGAGAACCCCAGGAGACATATCCAACATTTATTTTGCATTAGTTACGAGCAGAAGAAGCCATAAATGTTCAATTCAAATCCCCACTCCCCAAAGTCTAGAATTTAGGAATTGAAGATTCTCATCTGAGATTAAAAACAAACCATAGCAAGAGATTCACCCCATTATCAGTTAATTGGGAACATAACAGTAGGAGCACAGACTCATATTTGAGTTCTGATGAAATAAAACTTATTGTGTATCATAATAATGCTTTTGGCCAGTAGAAAAAGATCATGATAATGCTAGATTGCTGGTGTTCAAAAACAATATCGAAAAATCGAAACAAAATAGAATACACTAAAACAATACAAAATGATAAAGGAAAGCATCAGAGTTCCAATTATCAATTAACCATTAACTAATTAACTTATATTACTAACACCACCGATATACTGGAAACTCGAACTAACCCAAGCGAAGATCACAATATTCAGTAGAAAACAGAAACCAGAGAGTTAAACATGGATAAGTAATTGCAGAACGAAAGAAAGAGCAAGGATACACGAGATCGATAACAAGTTTGAGGTTTTTTATCCCAAAAGGAACAGAGAAGCCATGGCTGATGCTTACCTTTTCAAGTTTCGGAGATTGGTGGTGGTTTTCAATATGGCTTGGCTCTCCCCTTCCCTCTTGAAAATGCTTGAAGGTCAGAGAAGCACATAGAGAGAGAGAGAGAGAGAGAGAGAGAGAGAGACAACTTTTTTGTTGAGAGGCTCTCACCTCAGTCTCTCCTTCCCTCGCTGGAAAAAAGGGCGAGGGGCCAAAAAGGCAAGGGTTATTACTGTGCAGAATTTGTTACTCCAAAAACACCCTCCGTATTCACCAAAATGACTGCCGTAACCAGCATTTTTTTTTAAGTTAAAATATGAGGCACTAATAATCTAGGATCACTGGCTCACAAATATTTTTGCTGTCGGATGCAAAAGACAGACACAATGTGATGATTTACTTTATTTTATTTTTCCTCTTCTCTTGTTCTTTCTTTTGGTGGAGGGTATGCATATAATCATCAAATATTACAGTTGACCAAAAACTGTCCATTACAAATTCATTAAAAAAATTTCAATAAATCTATAAATAATTGCATGTGATTTTTTTTATTTCATGAAGTGCAATTATTAAAATGACATCATGGAAAATAACTGTGAAATCTTAAGCTAGTGGAAAGATTATTGCAATTGAAAGGTTATGTCTTGATAAAAAAAAAAGAAAAGAAAACTAGCACAACTCATTTGGCTTTCAAATAGCGACAATAGACATGAAATATTGTGGTCCATCAAATAAGGTGTTTCCAAGTAGTTTGTTGTTACCAAGAACCAACTTCTCTCCCCTCCTAACAAAATTAATAACTTGATGGATGATAGATTCTTTATTTTATAAAACGATTTCAATGTTTTCAGTAATTAATCAATTAATTATGCCAAAGCATGAAGGCATAAGCTAAATTTTATGTTCTAAACCATTTATAATAGTATAGATTTTTTTAAAAAGGGGAATCCCATTTAATGATCCTTTAAGAAAATTATTCACAGACAAGAATCAATACAAAATGAATTGTTATTAAAAATGAGAATATGACTAGTATTTTTTTAATAGAACTTGTTGCTGGTCCTTATTTATAAATAATTTTTTTAAAAGATTTTTTAATGTGATTCACCCTTTTTAAAATAATTTACTTCCTGACTTTTTCAAGGGGTTTCAATATTATATATGTTATTTTCCTTGTTATCCTTGAAAAAGTAATTCCATGTAAAGCACATTAAAATGTGAATGAATCTTTTTGGCAAAATGCAACACGTCATGTGGAATGCCCTGACGTGTTTAAGCCTTTAAGGACATCACTAATGAAATTAATAGTTAAGAAATCATGGAAGATAAAATTTAAAAGCCATCATGTTTCATGATAGTTAATTTCGCACCTCTTTTTTCAAATAAGTGATTTTTTTACAATAAAATTTAAGTGAATTGAGTCTCAAAAGTTCATTAGAATCCAAAACATATTTCTACATTCAAAAAATATTTACAGATGACTCATTGAAAATATCATTACATCAACAAGAAGATTTGAACTCATATTCTTGTAAATTATTGGTCAAATTATTATTAACTAGATTTTTTGTTGGCAAGTGAATATAGTGATTAACATAGTGTCCTGTAGAGAAATAATAGTTAAGTCCAAAAAAATAGTAAATTGATGACAATTAATTTCTTGATATAATTTTAAAATAAGTTACAAATGTTACTTCTAGTAGTTAAAAATTCAAGAATTTTAATTACAAATAAAACATTTAAATTATAAACATAACCATTAGTTTTCAATTAGAATTCTTGCTTGTAATTTATTTTTGAAAAAAAAAATTTGTCGCAACTTAACTATTGCAAATTCCTTCTTTAGGAATTTTAGTGTCATTCTTCTTCTTGCTTTTTTTTTTTTTTGGGCACTGATTTACGTGCAATTATTTATGGCTAGTAGCGACATTACGTTAATGAAGAAATAGTGGCGCTGAAGGGGGGAAGATGAGGAGAGTAAGGAAGGAATAAAGTACAGCTCCACTAGCTCCCGACACATTCTGGAATCGATGCTTCTCTCATTGGACCGACCTTGATACGATCCTGTTTCCAATTGCCACCTCTCCCATCTTTTGCCATCCTTTTCATCCCTCTACTTATTTTTGCCTTTTGTATTGTTACATGCTCTTTTGTATAAAAATATAAATATTTTTTAAAAATTAAATATTTAAAAATATAAAATATTTTTAATTTTTTAAGATATAATTATTATCTTTTTTTAAAGTACCTATATTAATAACAACTTTATATTTATTATAAAGTATTTAATAAAAATAAATATAAAAAGATAGAATTAGTTGAAAAATAATTAACTATTTTATTGAGGTGAGATTTAATTAAAAATATCATACATTTTTAAATGAAAGGAATATATATATATATATATATATAAGTTAAGAATCATGTGCTTATCTACTGGATATATTTTTATCTAATCAAATCAAAATAAATAAATTTTAATATGTTAATAATATTAATAATAATAATTTATCACAGAATAAATATTACTACAACAACAATGACAAATTTTATTTTATTAAATAAGGTCAGCTACATGAATTATATAATATTATTGTGCTCTATTATTTATTAAATTTTTAAAAATATTAACTAAAAGGTCTAATTTAATAACTTTTATAAATGTTTTTTTTTTGGACTTCCTCTAATCTTTTTAATAAAGTTTAAAATTATTTATTTCACTTCTTGTTCCGCAATATTTTTGCACATATTTAAATCACCTTAACATTTTTTTATCATTTTTTCCCTCAGTAGATGATAGTTTTTTTTTATTATAGAATAAATAATTTATAAAAAAATTTACATATCTTGATTCAATTGAAAATAAATATCTTAATTATATAAGGTAAAAGATAAAAGATTTTCCCTGACACATATATATGGTTAGCCACGCATAATCTTACTCCTTCCATTTTATTGTTGCACACACATTACAAAAATGCAATAAATATGTAGAAATATGGCATTGCTTACTAAATTTGCCCTGCATTTATTTTTAGTACTTCAAAGCCTCTAAAAACCATGCATGCGGGAGTAAAATACCGCTCTAAAGATAAAACATGAAAACGTCATTAAAAGTTATTTTGAAAGTCTAAAATGGCGTGTAATATGTGACCAATTTTTCCCTCTCAAACGACACATATGATAAAACAGCGTGAGTAATATTTTCAACATTATGATTTTGATTTAAGATAAATATAACTCACAGAGGTAATTTAACATATATTGTATTTTTTAAAAAAATTAAGTTATGCGTGTTCACAATATTAAGATAGCAGATAATATTCATATGATAAAGAAATTGAGTAAACAACGATTGGATTAAAACTTTCAAAACGAAATAAAGAGGAAAGTAAAATAAAATGAAGGAAAATTTATGTATGGGTCTTATGAAGCAAACTTATTTACAAATAAGTTTTACAAAATTCGAAACCATGACTTGATCCCTTAAAACCTAAGTGTAATTTGAAAATAAAATGCAAAGATAATAATGCCCATATTAAAAATATATTATATTAATTAAATAATTTATAATTATTTTATCAGTAATTTATAATTATCCCTTTCAACTTTTTATAATTGTAATTTCATATATCTAATAATTAAACTAATCACGTGTTACAAGTTTAATAGTACTAATTGTATATAACCATCTCATCAGTATTTTACAACTATCATTTTAATATTTTATAACTATAAATTTATATATTTAATAACTAAACCAATTACGTGTTACTAACAAAAATTTAATATTAATTATTTACAACTATCTTATCACTTCAATACTCAAATTTCAAATCTACCTCATCAGTAAAATGGCCAAATTGGAGTATTTTACAACTAGAAACTTCACATATTTAATAGAGGTATTATTATTTTTTTACTCAATTTCAAATTGCATCCAAGAACCATCAAACATGATTGTGGTTTTTAAATTTCACAAGATACACTAATTTTTCCTAAAATAAATGTGTGGGCAGTGACAGAACCCACATGGGGCAGGCCATATTATGATGGGAATTGGTGGAGACGTCGTACCAAGAATGGAACGGATAGGCAAAAGGCAAAAAGTAAAGTAATGGGAGTTATTATCACCAAATATTAAACTTTAAGATCAGGCAATGGCATCAGCTGCTGCATGCAATCCAAACCAGAACTGGTGACCCTCATCAACTCACAATCACAGGAATTGCCTTTTCAAGATTCTGTAGCCCAAAAGAATAAAGCACACCACCCCAACCTCCTCTTTCTCCGACTCTCCACATAAATCAAAACCCATCACCATCTTTCGGCATGAAAGACATGGCAAGGGATTCCAACTTTAAGACAACAAATATCCTCTTTTCAGTTATCAATTAATTGTTTATTCATGTCTTGTTGAATTATGAACAAACATTCTCATCATGCTCTTGGGTCGAATTCACTGCAATTAGCCATTAGGATATCAATCTCTCTGGGGTTGAAAGTTGAAACCCTGTTTTCTTAATTTTTAGTGGACACGCAACACATATTATAGTAGTTTTTGAAGGGAGTCAAAATGCATTCCACTGTCTGCTTCATCTGCTACGCTATGATTGGGGATTGACAGCAGACGAAGAAAGGAGATGGGTTTAAAGGGACATAATAGAACATTAAAACATGGTTTAAGTTTAAAAAATTTATAGCAAGACATTTTTAAATCAGTTTTTTTTTTAACAATAAATTTGAAGAATTTGGATATAATTTTTTTCTTCCATGCCATAATCGCCGCGTGTCATGCAGACACTCCCTCAATGGAGCTGGGAGAGAAGTGGTTGAGTGGGCTTCCCGTTCTTTTTTATGTTTTAAAGGTAAATATATACATTTTTTCCAATATAAAAGTAACTCGACGTAATGGCATTTTCTGTGTGCCCCACTTTACCTGGTGTACCGTACTCCACTGCCGTAACCATTCACTCAAATTTTTAGAAAATGACAAATAAATCTCCTTAAAATAAAATAATAATAATTTAATCTTATAAAATATAAAGTTTCAAGTGATTTTTTTGATATTAAATTTATAGTAAAATTACTTTATTACCTTTTTACGATTAATTTTATATGGTTTACAAGTTTAGTATAAACATTTACAAATTTGGTTTTATCTACGACTAAAATAATTTAAGAAATCACAACTTTCTATCAACAATTTCTTCAATCAGCAAAGTTCAACTAATTTTATATAATTTATAAATTTAATATAAATATTATAATTTGATTTCACTAATGATTAAAACGATTTAAAAAATTACAACTTTATATCAACAAAGTCCAACTAATTTTATATCATTTATAAATTTAGTTTAAATATTCATAAATTTGATCCCACCAATGGCACCAACCATTTATAAAATTACAACTTTTTTTAAATCGTGCTTTGATTCTAAAGTAATTTCATACAGAAATTTAATCTCACATAAATTTCTTGAGACCTCACTGTGATTATCACATTTCACAAGATCAAATTGTCATTTCCTTATTTTAGAGAGATTTACCTGTCATCCTTCCATTTAAAAACTTTCATCAATCAAACACTACACTATAAGATTTTAAAGCTTAGCTGCATTCTCAATTACCCATGTTATTTGTTCCAATGAAACTTGACCTTATTTCAGGCAAAAAAATAACACGTGAGCTTATTTGTCTCAGCATATAAGAATGAAATAAGCTCAAGGTGACAATCAGATATCATGACGTGCAAATAACCCGAACCACAAGGAAGTTAAATTGATATTTACCCCGAAACAATATTGATTCATCAGGTCAAGCAACTTTTCCTGTCTTTCCATCTTCTGTACTGCCAAGTCTAAAATTCAGGATTCCACTGAGTCCTTGTCCCCTGGCCAGTTTTTCCAGTTCTTGAATTTTATGCTTAAGAAGTTCAACTTCTTCCGCAATTTCTTCATTTCTTTGTCTCACAGCCTGAATAACAATCAAGTGATCAACAGAGGTTGGTGGTGGATCATGTGCCCTTGGCAAACTGATAACTTCCCTGAGTTAACCAGAATTGACAAGCATTGAACCAAAAGATACATTGTTCACTGTGATTGGATATTTGAGCATAGGAAAGAAAATAGACAGCCAGGGAAAAAAATGTCATAATCCTCTATCATTTAGGCATTTAATCTTCCACAAAATCTCAGATCGGATGAAAATAATGTCCCATGCCTTATATCTAACCCTCCTTCATTCGAACAAGATCAATTTGATCACCCACCTCAACCCCAAAAGCATATTGACAATCTTGACTAAGCTTTTTGATAAGATTCCTGATAAGATTCCCGTAAAGACTTATTTGAGAAAAAGCGATAAAAGATAAATTAAATATGATTTTATTATTTTTTGAATATTATTTAGGAAATTTAATTTATTATGAGATTTCATTTAGATATTTAGTTTTTATCTAGATTTAGATTTTATTCATTTAGATCTTATTTAGATTAGATTTAGATTTTATTTAGTCTTCCATTATCTAGTTATCTATTATCTAATTATCTAGATTTCATTTGTATTTGCCTTTATAAATATGACTAACAATTCAAAAGCTAGCATATCATCAATAAAATAATTCCTTTAAGCCTTTTGGAGATTCTTTTAAGCGTAGCTATTGAAAAAAAGCATAAAACGAGATTCTTGTTTTATATCATCTCAATTAATTTATCTCTCTTGTTTTATTTTATTATTTTGAGCACCTATCACTTTTGCATGAAAGTTCAGACATAGGCCACTTTTTTATTGTTCTCTTCGAAAAAATATTTACAAATAAAGTACATCAGAAAGCCGTATACATTTGGTCAATTTAAGCATCACAGGCAAAGTTATAATAAGGATAAGATACACCGCAAAGCATTATACTCTACATTTGGTCAACAATACAACAATTAAGAAATGGAGCCGCCATCTAAGGACTATAGGAATTGATTCTCTTTTAAAGTCCGAAAATGCAAGTTGTTCGGTATATGCTATGTTTCAGCAAACGGAAGGCCCTATTATAAAGGCAAAGGAAATGTGACTTTATACATACTAACCTATCAAAATCCCATTTCTGCCGCCCTAGATGTTTAGTTTCGTTTCAAAAGATGAAGGAGGAAAACAGTTCCACTCCTCGCTTAAGTCATCCAAGTGAAACTATGATTAAGCTAAAACTTGCAGAATTTGACTCAGCATTTATCTCAGAGCTTAACATGTCAAAATAACAACCACGATACAATATGCACCATATATTTGCAAATCAGCATAAAGTAGAAACAAACTTCCAAAAATAGAACAAAAGTAATGACATATTTCATTTGGTCACGTCATGTCATTCCTGGGTAAAAGATACCATAGACAGAAAAAATGGAATCATGAACTAGAAAGAAACTGTTACAGATTTACAATAAAAAAAACAAAATATCACAGAGAGCAGTTTTTTAAAATATTCAAAAAGTTATTTTGCATGTCACAATAAAATTATTCAACAACGCATGCCAAGTGGAACCACACTCTAAAACAGATATATGCACCATGTTTATGGTCACATTACCTCCACCTCTTGCTTGCGTCTCTCCTCCTTTCTTGCTTCAGATCTTGCACTCCTTTGTACCTCAACGATCAACAGAACTCCTGCAACCTATGAATATAAGGAATTTTCAAAGAAGCAGGCATTTAAGAACAAGTTTCTGAGCATGCATAAAAACTGTTCTTCAGCCCAACAATATAAAATAGTATATATTCTTACATCTTGTGCACAATGGTAATAAACTTTAATTTCAATAATGGCTTCTTTTTTTTTCTAGTCTATATAATAAGACACTTCTTTTTTTTTTTTGGCCAGTTAATTAGACACTTCACTGACTAGTATTTTAATTTATCACATTATTTTATTTAAAGATAACTTCAAATTGTATTCATTTATGACAGTGTTTTCAGAGAGGTAAGTACTCCGGATATATCTTTAAAATTATGAAGACATTTAGCTTCAAACTTCGCAATAGTTGTATTAGCTACCTTTTATTTAACGCTTGAAAGGCCAAAGTTGGTTCCTTAAATTAGGGTAAAGAGACACTTGAACTATCAATGCTTCTATCTCGTTACATCTTTTCTTTTTATTCATGTATGTTTTCTTTCTCTCCTTCATCTTCTGCACAAGCAATATATTTGGCTAGATAACTGCAATTTTCTGTCTCCCTCTACCATCAGTTCATCTAAACATTGACTAGATAGTTGTTTCTAACAAACTTTTTCTAAACATAAATAGAACTAAATATGTTATAAGAACTGATGATGCGTTAAAACTTAGTTTAAACTAGAGAGTTTGAATCATGTCTGCAATTCCTGCACTGCATCTGCCATCTGATGGCAATCATATATAATTATTTTGGAATTACCAATATGGCCAGGCCTACAGATAATAACTACTATTCAACCACAACGACTTTTAAGAAATCACAGGTCACACAAAGTATATTGCCTCAGTTTCAAAGCTCAATATCAATGCCGCAGTGTAGATCTTAAAAGCACAAATGAAAGGAAAAGAGTAAAGTTGTGATTGATCTGTATAGCTCAAGGAAGAATTTCAAACTTTATGAAGATTAGAAGTAATAGCTGGATTCAGTGCAATACATTCAGAATCAGATTGTTTGCTGAGTCCTATTTCACAGAATAATCTTGTATCTTGCTTACAACCATGTCCACCATACTTTGAATCACAAGTAGCAGAAAGCATCACAGCAGAATAGTTACCGTTATTTTAACATGCTTTAAGCAAGTAGTGGTATTGCCTACATCATAAAAAATGTATGAATTTAATTGTATAAACAATATCACAAAACTGTGTTAGCAAGCGTAAACATACAGTACCGAGAAGACAAAGAATTCTCCAATAAGGTCTACAGCAGCTTGAACTGCTTTTTCCTCATTTAAAGGCCGAATCTCGACATCCGTTGCATGACCATAGATGTGCCTTTGCATCCTTGTTGTAATTCTATGGTTAGCCTGTTTCCAACATGCAAAATTGTGAGAATACATGTTCTAGTGCCCCTCTGATCTTTTACCTCCAAAGACACAAGAAAACCAAACTGCAAGACAATTCACAATACATATATAGACCAGCAATGAAGGATTGTCTATTACGGAACTTAAAACATGATTTACACAAATCAGGAGGCATCAGCAAAACTCTACAAAGCAGTGAATAGCAAAGATACGTTGCGCACAATCGCAGCAAAACTTTAGCTTCTCTGTTTTGCACAGGATGTTAATAGTAGGTTAGAGAAGCTGGAGGCAAGGCTCAACTTGTTAAAAGAAAGCAAATAGAACCCTCATAACCAAATAGAGAGACGACTAGACCACAAGCACTGCACAGCAATGCAGAGACATTCATACGCTTCCCTGTATTTCCAAAAAGAAATGGTAAGATTTTTTCTCTTGGACCAAAAGTTGAAGGTTGAAATCACGAAGTGGTATTAAATGGTACGATTCATTCCCACACTGGTTAGTTCCTTCTCCTGCTCTAAGGCCCAATTACAGCAGCAAGAGACGCTAAACAGCAGGTTCCGATTTCCAAACTCTTGCAGCGCAAACATTGCAATGCTTCAGAGGCAAAATATCCTAAAACCTAACATTGACAATATAAACTGGAAAACAGAAAGCGTCTTAAACACATTTAACATTTCATATTCCATACGGATCCCGTAAACATTATGCACTGTCAACATAAAACTAACAAACTATTCAAAAACGAGAGCAGATGCAATGAAATGGGACTATTATAGAATACCTGGGCCATCCTAACGATGTATTGACGGAACCTGGGGTGAATGGCAGCCTGCTTCTTGAGTCTGCTAGCAACGGGTTTGCTCAGGGTCTTCAAAGCGAGCGTCCCTAGCTTCAAAAGCGGAAGCATCATGCTTGTGGGAATGCGATCCGATCTTGAACACCACTTTTTTTTTAACTAAAACTCGAATGAAATGCCCAGCTTTTGGGAAGTTATGAACTAAAAGAATTCGAGCTTAAAAAGAGATCGCAATGAATATAACAGGGGTCGTTGCTGATTTGACCGGTAAGGAGGCGGCATTTCTTGATGAAGAAGGTAGAGGAAGCCAAGGGTGGACCAAAATCAAGAAAGTCGCTCGAAGAACTGGCCGGGGGTGAAATTGTGAGTGGATATTTATTTAAGCTGCATCTTTATCCTAAACCTATTCACGAAAGAATGATGTTATTCTTAAACTATTCAGTAATGTAATTTTTAAATTAATTAAATTAGAATAATATTGCTTCCACCATTTAAAATCTAAATGTTTGACTATTAAGTTGGTGAAAAAGTAAAAAATTTGACCAAGTTTGCCTTTAAACTCTTGCTTGAACCTTTAAGGGGGCTTCTTTCGATCCTTAAAAGAATCCAGTGCATGAGTGCCCAAAGAGATGCTATGAGTGCCACAACTGCTACTTCAATCAAACCTTCCTTTCCAGCTACTTTTACTTTGTCATCTTCTTTGCCTTCAAAATCCTCTGTTCTTTACTTTCTAAACACCACTAGCTTCAACAAGTTCAAGCTCTCTCTTTCACAATCTCATTCTCAACTTTCATTCTTTATCAATAATGCCTTGAAGGTAGCGCACACATCCTTTGCTTCCATCTCTGAGGATTTGGAATATTTTTCTTCTTTGTCATCTAGGTATGAAACCCACCATCTTGATCACTAAGAAATTTAGAAAGGCAAGGCTCCAAGTTTTGCTAAAGTTCAGACAAGTGGAATTTGCCTACAATATCTTGCCTAAAGAACTGTTCTAAGTGTAATATCCACCTTAACATTATCAAAATTCACCACATAATTATAACAAACATTCATAATTAGGAGCAATGATTGCTCCTAAGCTCACATTATCTATATAAGGGTTAAAACTAATAATCTTTTAAAAATAATTATGAAATGTTTGAGATCCCTTAAAAACCCTTTAAATTGATAGTTTAAGCTCAAATTTAATGATTTATAAAGGCATTGGAAGCATGAAAAAGTTTTGGGAAGTAAAACACTTCAAAAGAGGGCCAAAAATATCATTTTTGAGTGTTTTGGTCCATGCACCGGGCAGGTGACACAAAAAGTCAAGTTTTCTCGCTGTACCATGCGTCGTGGCTTGTGCGAAATGTGCCATGGCGTACGTGTCCATGACAACAATGACAGCTTTTCTGGACGAAATTCATATGTGCACCATTTTCGCATTTGATGTCCAATTAGAGTGATTCAAGTACCCACACGAAGCTTATTCAAAATGCTAACTAATGGTATAAGTTTCGTTACGATCCGACATCGTATGAGAATTTTAGACACTTAGATTCAAAAGTCAATTTAAAAAAAAAATTCAACCATCCAAGTACCCAAAACTCATAACTTATACCATTAACCCATTGTGAGACTTGAACCAAGTCCAATGGATTAAAATACACTTGAGTGACTAATCAAATACACAAAAACATACCAAACACAAAACTTGGCCACTCAATGGCGCTTTTGCTCAAAATGGCCAGAATACACAATTAACATGACAAGGACTATTTCGCCTCTATTGCCATATAATACATTACATATACATTATCACCACGTAGATAAAACATTCCTTGCACTTGTAATAGCATTTTAGCCCATCACCACAAAAATTTTCACATATTCACATCATATACAATATTCGGCTAAAATACAAAACAACATAGTATGAAACAAGTACAACCAATCAAAATAATATGCATTCCTAGTTAGCAATATATAATATCATATAATAAGTTTATGTACACCACTCAAATCAAAATCGAGCATTACTATTCGATGTAGCAAATCTACTAATCCTTGCCCGATTCCTTCCCTCGCTCAGTCTCAGCAGTAGAACCTGTAAAATGATAACCACGGAGTGAGATAAAAATCTTAGTAACTAAGATAATCTACATTATTGATTAACATGTTAAGTTATAGACAAACCATAAATTAAGTAAAATAAGCACAATATATAAAATCACCACAAGTTACATGTATGATCCCTAACCACTCGGTCCTCCAATACTCTCGACCGAATCGGTAGGCTATTTTATAAAACCAAACTATATGTATGGTCCCCAAGCTCACCATTCATGGTCGGACTACCCGGCCAAGGTGTCCTAAGTCACTTCTGGACTACTGATTCCCCCTATTACAAGTAATTGGGGTGTCGTTACTCCATCCTACGGATGCTAAGGAGCATATTTTCCAACTCTGTACCCTTTTAGGTACTAAGGAGAGTAAGTCTCCAACACCGTGCCTATTTTCGGGCACTAAAGAGAGTAAATGCTGCACCTGGCGTCCCAAGGTGCTAGCAGTGCCATATGAAATTAATCTTCACTAACTCCACTAGGGTGACCTCACATCCTCTAATATGTCACAATTCACTATATATCTTCACTTGACCATGCATAAACAACTTTTCAAATAAATATAACAAATCTTACCATTTACTTCAAAAATATAGAATTTCACAAACTAATACTTCACTCATTTTCTAAAATAGTTAACCTTTAAAGAATTTATACATATATACTCAATAAATTATAGAAAAGCAACTTGAGAATAACTTATACAAGGTAATAAATAATGCAAATTATCTAGTTACCTCAACCCTTTTGTTACTAATAGGGTTACCCGTGGTACTAAATTTCTTCTTATGTCAAGGTAAGTCTTCTCATACCACAATCTACATCAACAAGTACTATATGTTAATTTTAAATTAACACAAGCACTATTAGCTACTAATAACCTCCCAATTCTCCCACTTCTCACTTATATTCTCAACAAAGAGGCTTGTTAAGATTAGAATTTATTTATACAATCCCTTTAAGCCTCCCCCTAACTCTCTCACAACATAACATTTAATATCTCAACTTATCATACATCAAAACCTTATGATTAAGTTAGGGCTTGATCCAACTTTTATCAAACAATAAAGTAGCTTCATATTACTATGTATCTAAGATTAATAAACTTAATCAAACCTTTAAAGTCAATAGCAACCTTTAAAACATAGACTTATCGCTTAATCCAATCAGACTAAATTCTCACTCTTCCAAATCCTATGGAAAATGATATGAAAAGATAGAAGAGATGGGCAGGAAACTTACTCAAGAGTTTGAAGGCTCAATTTGTCTTTAAAATCCTCCTAAAATGATGCCCTAGCAGTGCTCAAAGTTGCTCCCTTCGTGCTCTAGGTTTCCCACCATAAAATCTGACTTTTTTCTAATCTTTTTCAAAATTTTAAGTTACTTGCTATGCCGTGCGCCGCAACACATGCCACACAAGCCGTGGCTCATGACGCAACAAGCAACAAGTTGATTTTTCTCCCCCCATGCCTCTCGACTTGATCCGTCTTTTATCCTATCTCAATTTAGAGCCAAAAATGACCTAAAAATCTAATTAGCAACCCAAAAACATAATTAAATAAATTAATCATATTTTTAACTAATTTATCCCTTAATTAATCAATTTTTCCATATTTAAAGTTTTCGGATGTTACACTAAGCAAGATGAAGGTTACAAGGTAAGTGTTCGAAGTAGGAAAAGAAAGGTTGAAGATTGTGGGAAAAGCTGGTATGAGAAACAACAATGTCGATATGCAAGCTTCCATTGAGTTCAATTGCCTCGTCGTTAATGTAATGTCTGTCTTGACATTACCAAAATTCACCATACAGTCACAACAAATAATCATAATTAAGAGTTATAAATTACTCCTAAGTTTACAATAAAATACAGAAGGGGTAAAGCTAATAATCCCTAGAAATAATTTAAAATATTTAGGGATCTCATAAAACCTTTTAAATAAGTAGTTTGAGCTCAAACTCAATAATTTATAAGGATATGTGAAACATGAAAAGTTTTGGGAAGCAAAATACTTAAAAACATGGCCAAAAATGTTATTTTTAATATTTTGATACATGCATCGCGGCTCGTGGTCCATGCACTGCGACACGTGGCATAGAAAGGCCAATTTAGCTACTGTTGTCATGCCCTTGTCATGACAACAACAATGTTATCATTACAACTTTTCAGGATGAACTTTAAACACGCACCATTTTTAGATCTGATGTTTGCTTAAAGTGATTTAAGCGCCCACGCAAAACTTACTCAATAAGCTACCTAATGATATAAATTTCGCTATGATCCAACACCATATGAGAATTTTAGACACTCAGATGTAAAATTTTTTAAAAGGATTTTCAAGCATCCAAGTACTCAAAACTAAAAATTTATACCATTAACCCATTTTGAGACTTGAACCAAGTTCAATGGACCAATATACTCTAAGTTGAGTATTTAAACAAACATAAACATGTCAAATATAAAATTTGGCCACTTAATACTGGTTTTATTCAATATAGCCAAAACACAAAATTACTACCACATATACCATTTGGCCTCTATTATCACATAATACATCACATATATACAATATTCTTTGCACTTATATTAGTATTTTAGCCCATCATCACAAAAATCATCACACATTCACATCATATATAATATTAGGCTAAAATACAAAATAACATAGTATAATACAAGTGCAACCAATTAAAATGATATGCATTCATAGTTGGCAACTCATGTTATCATCTATTTAAGTTTATGTACATAACTCAAAATAAAATCGAGCATTACAATGGTAATATAGAAAGTATGCTAGAGCTTGCTCAATTCTTTCCCTTAGTCAGACTCAATGGAAGAACCTGTAAAATAATAACCACAGGGTGAGATGAAAATCTCAGTAACTAAGATAATCTACATTATTAATTAACATGCTAAATTATAAACAAGCTTTAAAATAAGCATAATAAACACACCATATACCACAATTCAAATGCATGATCACTAATCATCCAGTCCTCTAATACTCCTGACTGAACTGGTAGGCTATTTCATAAAATCAAACCACATTAATGGTCCCTAAACTTAACATCCATGGTAGGACTACTCAGCTAAGGTGTCCTAAACCACTTCTGAACTATAGGTTCCCCTTATTACAAGCAATTAGGGTGTCATTACTCTAACACCACATCCTATGGATGCTAAAGAGTATAATCTTCAACTCCACACCTTTCTGAGTACTAAGGAGAGTAAGTCTCTAACACCGCACCCTTTTTTAGGTACTAAGGAGAAATA